AGAGAAGACCAAGAGAGCAGTAGAAAGTGTGTATTGGGACTTTACAGGAACAATAACTAGTAAAAGTACTGTTGATACTTTTAATGAGCTAACTATCTTTGGTTTCTCAGACCCAGAAAGATGTTTAACTAGAGTGGAATTAAGTGCTGCCCCTCCCTGTAACATAAATAATAAAAACCCAGAGACAGATATTGGGGTTCAGCAACCAACCACCATAGAGCTCTTACCTCTACCAAAGCTGGGGTGTCCCTGTCCTCAATGTAACTGGAGACTAATTGCCTGGTCTGAGACTCTGTTCCTGTCTTATATACCTTTTTAGCGCTGGGATTAAAGGCATGCACCACCACTGCCAGGCTTTTATTGCTGACTAGTATGGCTGCTGAGATTAAAGGTGTGTACCACCACTGCCTGGCCTCTATAGCTGTGGCTAGCTTTGCATTCTGATATTCAGACAAGTTTTATTAGATCATAAGCAATATATTTCCATACCTCCCTTTAGCTAAGTGTTGATAAATCTCATCATCCCCTGTTTTGTACTCCCATAGTTCAGAATAAAAATAATCCTTGTTTTTCTTCCCATATTTTCCCTTGTCCAAGATTCATTTCAATCAATTTTCTTGTCTCCTCAATCTCTAATCTTTTCAGAGTACAGTCTTGAAATAGCCATAGGCTAAAACCAAATGCTAGTAATTAAATAGCACCTAGATAAGAGAAAATATATCAAGTATTATATCATTTCTTTGCATACATTAAAAATGGAAGAAATAGAGGCTTAAACTAATTGCAAACTAAGAAGTATTAAGTATGACATCACCTTTGATAATGACATATAACACCTATCAAATAGTTTACTAAGAAAAGGAAACCCAGATTAAAACATACATTATCATACAAGTGGAATATAGCAAAGCGAAAAATAGGCAAGAGCAGAGTAAAAGCCAGTATTGATAGCCACTAATTTTGATTCCTAGAGACAGCTTCTGGAAGACTAAGAAAATTTGGACAGTCTCTTTGGGAGCACATGTGAATGTGAAGTCAAATGTACCTTGAAAGAGCTGAACTTAATTTCAGATCATTTTAGAATTTGAAATAGGATTAAATTGACCTAGTTGCTAGACTCATTAACAAGAGTTCCTGTCAAAAGTATTTTAAACCCCCTTAAATCACATTTCTAAAATAATTTGTATGTTTATATATGCAGTGTATATACCCAAAATGAAGAAATGATGCAATTTTTTAAAGGGAGAAGAATGTGGATAATGAAAAGTCACCATGGAGGGTTGAAGTACATAGCCTAATACACTTTCAGAAGATAAAGATACCTGAAAAGTAAAAAGGGTAAACTGAAATATCTAGAATTGGACAGTACTCAGGTATAAAAACTCAAGACCTCAGTGGATTTGAGAGCATTTCAGACATTCTGAGCTGGAGGGTTCTCTAAAGGATGTGTCTGAAATAAAGCAATGAGTAACAAAAAGAAAAGGAAATGTGGAAGAGATATATGAGCTAGAATTAGAATTCTAGTTCATGAAATTTCAAAAGGAAATAAAGAAAAAAGGAGAGAGAACATAATTGGAAGAAACATGGCTAGAATCACTAAAAATTGGTGGTACAAGAAATGCCACACCTCCCTAGAGATACCTACAAATAGAAAGCAATGGACACTTCAAGGAATTTGACTCAGGGAAATCTTTAATGATAAACTCCACTTAATATTGAGACACAAAAAGTTGCTAGTTTGGTATGGAGATTGATACATGTGGAATCTGTAAGCATAAATTACAATAAATAAGAGTTTTAACTATCTTAAAATGTGAAATTAACAGAACTTACCAAAATTATGAAGCTTAGGAGTCTTGGGTGAAGGACTTGTATGCCAATTAATTTCTATATCTTAGGGAGTAAAGAGTTGCTGTCAAGTACAAAACATACTTTCTTTTTTCATACATGACATTTTTGTAACATACAGTGTGGTGGGGATTTTCATGTAGAAAAAATATTTTCCCTATTTTCTTTTATTGAAAATAGATTATTTCATATATTTTTCTGATTAGAGTTTCCCCTTCCCCAACTCCTCCAAGATCCTTCCCACCTCTCCTCACATCTGAATCTACACCCTTTCTGTCTCTCAGGAGAAAACAAAAATGTATCTAAAGAAAAATGACCCGTCCAGCAGGCCAGGTTATTTACTGGGTCTCGAGCGGGTGTCACCTGTAGGAGTCAAACGGGGGGGAGAGAGAAGTGGAAGCCAAGCGCGTAAAGAAAGAGTCAGTCTGAGTTGCGTCAAGGCTTCGTTTATTAGCTAGCAAGGTCTCATTTTTATAAAGCAGTTTAGGCAGGGCGGGGGATGAGGACAGGGGCAATGGAAAGTACCGGGCCTGGGTACAGAAGGAAATATTTCTTATAGAACACCTTATGTTTAGCCTGTTCCAGGAACCAATGTATGCATGACCAGTTTGTTCATAATAACTTTTCAATTCCAATTGTTTCAATTCAAACTGCCACTTAGTTCTGCTACAACTTAAAGGTCTCCGGGGCTCCAACATCTCCCCCCCTCTCTAATAAAATCTTAGGCAGATTAATTTGGGATCTAGGTGCCGAAGTGTGCGATTAATAACTGACGAGCTAATAGGTCTTTCAAGACGAATCTTAATATCCGGCTGAGCCTAAGCTGGTGCAATGGAAGCAAGTCCTCAGCGTGCAAGGCCTCAGTGTCAAGGATTTCTTCGCCTCACCTGCTCTTGTCAGAATCCAATGAGAGAGACTGAGCCTGTTAGAAGATCGTTGCTAGGTTCTTACCCGTCATTGGATCATCCTCCCCACCAGGATTATCCTGTCTTAGGTGAATCTAGACTTAAACGACTCTTCCGTCACTGACTTTCCAGTCTATCGTCTCATGGGGTGCACAAAATTTAAGGCACCATGGGGATAGATCTTAAAGGGTCAAATTTTTAGATCTAAAAGGCCAAATTTAAAACTTCCTCCAGAATTTTCGTCCTGTACCCGGGCCAGAGGGGACTGTAAATCTAAGGTGGGTTTGAGGAGGGGGTTTTCCAGAGGAATCATGGGTAATAGGTTCAGAAGCAACATTAGAAGGGCGTTCTTCTTTTTCCAAAGTTGCCAGCCAAGTTTGAGCTGAGCGACCACTCTCTAAAGCAATCATGGCTTGTAATATAATTTTCTTATCCCGAGAAGTTTGGGCTTTCAGGCGGCAAATCAGCCAAAAACATAATACACATCCTCCTAGGCAACAAACAAGGAACAATCCCACCCCTATCCATTCCTTAAAGAAGGAAAAAGCAGAATAAAGCCAATCACTAAATTGTCCAAGGGTAATGGGCTGTACACGGGTATTATTTAGAACAGCAATTTGAAATAATTGTTCCTGTAATAATATTTCTCCTTCTAGGGACCAGTTACCTGCTAAGTATTGGCCAATTCTTAAACTTTCATTTCTGGAATTATTAAAAGGGAGGGAAGTAATACATACATGCTTCTGATATGCAACACAGCCGATTTGTACTAAGCTAGCTAATTCATCAATTTGGGTCTGTACAAAATCAATCCTCTGATTGGCGGCTATAATCCCTGATGTTATATGTTTATTAACTCTGGATTGTGTAACCAAAGCATCTGCTGTTTTGCTAACAATCTCATTAATAGTGGATGCCGTCTGGACCTGATTGGCCATGGCTATTCCGGCCGTAACAGCAGCCGTGGCTGACAGAACAATGGCAGAAACAATGGCAGCAGTGATCCCAAAGTCACGTCGTTCTCGAAGGAGCAGGGTGACAGGAAAATGGTTTGGGTCTGTTTCTACGGGAAGAGGTACAAACGTGGGTATTCGTAGTACCACTGCCAACCCAAAACTACCATTCCAACATTCAGACAGAAAACATTGTATTGAATCATTTTTGCAATCAAGCTTAGTAGACCCCTTATTATCATTAGAAAGTAAAAAAATAAAGGGAGGGAGTACACACACTGCAGCTCCTGGGAGTGTATGATTGGCTATCTCCTGCTCCCGATCAATACGGAGCCTTCTGTCAAAACCCTTTTCTTGGACTGTGCCAGTAACATTTAGCAACTGGAATGTGGTAGGTTGTAAAAGCGCCAGGGCAGAAATGTCTGCAGTTGCACCCAATTCATTAGACAACAGCCATTGAAACCAAGACCATCCCGCTTGAACGGAGGAATCAATGTTGTTACTATTATAAATATACTGCTTCATAGATGGGGATAAGGAAAATCCAAAAGAGACTTGTTTTTGTTCCCAGGTCTTGGCCTGGCAAGCAGTAAAGACTGGTGGAAATGAAAACTCAGTAATACAGTGGGGTGATGCTTTAAAAGCTATTGCATTGTTGTTGCTATAATTGCTCGGCCTGGGCACCAGGGAGCTAACTCTCACGGCCAATGTGGTGACATTTAACTTTGATCCTTTGGTGCTCTGTCCAGAGCCCTCTGTTGCCCCGCGGCTATCAGCGCGAGCGCTGCACTCAATATGTCCATCCCCACTCTACTATCCACCAAGGGATCCTTCCAGTTAGTGAGATTATCCCTTTTGAGTCTGATGCAAGGAGAGCCTCTTTTAAGAGAAAAGCACATAGTACCATTTAACTGGATACTAGTTAAATTAAAACTCTCAATCTTTTGTTCTGGGGCGGGTATGCAGGGCGCATCCATATCACAGGAAGTAGAAAACAGGGTAGGTAACAGTGAAGAATTAAAATGAACTGGCATGGGAACTGGCCAAGCCCTGGTCACTGCCCAGAGCATCATATTTTTAGCATCAACTATCCAGGCTTGTAGTATAAAAATCATCAGCCCTCATTTTTATGATAATCTTTCAAAGTTTTGCCCTTAAACTAGACAGCATAAGCGTTCCTGTCCTGGTTCATGACACCGTAGCCAAAAGCAGCAGCAAGATACTACTATAAACATTAAAATACAAAAAGAACTCCATATAAGGGATCCAATCCAAAGAATATCTTCTGCACTTCTTGTTGGCCTCAGTTGTTTAATCAGCGGGTCAAGGCAGACGTTTTGGCTTGGGTGCTCAAGAAGATAGATATTACCAATCCTATCCAAAGCATCTCAGCAGCAACAGGTGCGTTTTTCTCCGGGCACATGACATCGCAGCCACCAGCAGCAGCAGAGCACCACCACGACTATTAATATCAGGATGAGTGTTCCATCTAGAAAGCTGATGTCTCCAAACAGGATCCTTTGCATCCTCTATCGGGCCGCTCCTGCAACCATAAGATATTTTTTCCTCAGGGAGGTTTTCCCTGGGTCTTATCAGAGAGGGATTTGATCAGCCTGGCTTTCCACATTTAAAACAGGTTCTTGTCATATTGGACCTTCCTGCAGATGACTGAATCATGGCTCCAATGGCCAGACTAATAGATTTTGAAAGTTTGTGGTCAAGAGGATCAACATCGTTACAAAGCCTGATCATACCGTGTAGGTCTAAGATTTTTACTTTCCCTCTCAATACAGCTTTGCATGCTGAGTTGGCATTTTCAAAAGCCAATTGTTTTATAATAACATCATCAGCACCGTTTTCTCCTAATAGTCTTTCAGCCACCTCTAGCAGACGGCCCACAAATTGCGCATATGGCTCATTAGGCCCCTGGACTACCTTGGAGAGAGAGGTACCCAATGATGCTGCAGCTGGTATAGCCCGCCATGCCGCTAGGGCAGCGTGCGTAACTTGATTGAGCAGCCCAATGGGTAGGGTCTGTTGTTTGTTTTCCAAAGAATACTTGCCTTTACCTGTTAACTTATCTATGGTCCATGAGGTAGTAGCAGTATTACGTTTATTTATATCTGCCTGTGTCTCTAGTCTCTCCAACAACTCGGCCTTCCATGTAAGGAACTGGCCTCGAGTCAACGCTGATTGCGCAATTTTTTCCCATTCAGCAGGGAGGAGGCTTCCGCCCTGTCCCAAGCCTTCCAGAATGGATAGGGTAAATGGAGCCGTGGGACCATAATTTTTTACTGCTGAATGGAGCTCCTTTAAATGTCTAATTTTTAAGGTCTTAATAATGCGTGATCCTGAGCTAGTAGGAGATGTTACTGGGTCTTTCTCCTCATCAGATTCAGGTGGCTCACTGTCTTCCCCCTCTTCATCTGCTGAGGTGGCATCTGCGGCCGGGTCAGCAGGTGTTTCTGTCTGTCTAGATCGAGTAACGACTGGAAAAGCAAGAGGGGTTGATTTTGACTTCATTTTATTTTTCTTTATGCCTTCTAATTCCTGTGGGAGTTTAGTCCCCGCAGGGTAGAACAGGTTTAACTGTAAAGCAGAAACCTGTGAGGTTAAATCTCGCAATTCTTGTTGGAGGGAGAGGACGCCCTGTAATTGGGATATCTGGGCACTTAACACATTCTTAGAGGCAACCAGATGAGCAACCACCGAGGGAGAGGGCTGTATAGTGGGGACCTTATTATCCCATGGCTGGGGAGGGACGGAGGAAAAGGTGCTGGAAACATATGGAGGGGAGCAAGACCAATGTAGTCGTCTTGAGTCCCCTGGGCGGGTATTCACCGGTGCTGCAAGTGGAGGGTTGTATCTCCCACTTTCATATTTAGCTGCTTCTTCCTCTAAGTCTATTTCTTCTGAAGGATCTAGCCAGTCATCGCCCTGTTCTTTATGAATTACAGGATACAACGAGTTAATTGGCAACTTTGAGGGTTTCGGGATTAAAGGAGGGGCCAGATTCTTATCTGGGATTTTTTCATCAATGATGGAGGGGCTCCGAGAGGTGGCGGGGGACCGAGAGGACACCTTATCTCCTTTTATATTAACAATCTTTTTTAGATTATCTCCTTCATCTGCCCTAAGCATCTTGTCCGATAGTGGACCTTCATGATTATTTTTCTTTTCTCTATTATCCTCTCTTTCATTGATAAAATCCTCTGCCAGGGCCAGAAGATGGGAGACCTTTCCCTCTGAATCTGATTCTTTTAAAATATCTCTGATAACTCCATAAAAACTGAAAAATGATTCTGGGACTTCTCTTCCTTGTCTAAGAACCTCATTTATATCTTTCCCTACTTTATTCCAAGTAAGGGGATGAATATCTGGCCCACTGAGGACCAGCCATGGACATATTTCCTCAACATAACAAAAGAAATCTAATAAATCCTTTTTCTTAACTCTAATGCCCCTCTCCCTTAGCATGCTCTTTATCTCCTTAATAAAGAGGGCCTCTTTAGAAGCCGTATTTCCCATGACTCAATTCTGGACAACACACTTACCTCCAGTCGCTGCACGAGCGGTGCAGACGATCTGTACCCAATCGACCGGTCAGTCTTGCTGCTTCAGGTTGTCCTGTGCCCACCGCTTCTCGAGCCCCACGTTATGGGCGCCACTTGACCCGTCCAGCAGGCCAGGTTATTTACTGGGTCTCGAGCGGGTGTCACCTGTAGGAGTCAAACGGGGGGAGAGAGAAGTGGAAGCCAAGCGCGTAAAGAAAGAGTCAGTCTGAGTTGCGTCAAGGCTTCGTTTATTAGCTAGCAAGGTCTCATTTTTATAAAGCAGTTTAGGCAGGGCGGGGGATGAGGACAGGGGCAATGGAAAGTACCGGGCCTGGGTACAGAAGGAAATATTTCTTATAGAACACCTTATGTTTAGCCTGTTCCAGGAACCAATGTATGCATGACCAGTTTGTTCATAATAACTTTTCAATTCCAATTGTTTCAATTCAAACTGCCACTTAGTTCTGCTACAACTTAAAGGTCTCCGGGGCTCCAACAGAAAAATAGTAAAATGAAATAATTAAAACAAAAACAATCCAGAATAGAACAAAACAAACATAACACAAAGAGCCAAAGAAAAAGCACAAGAAACACATATAGATGAAGTGATACATTCTAACACACAAGAATCCAAAGAAAATATAAACCTGGCAGAGAGAGAGAGAGAGAGAGAGAGAGAGAGAGAGAGAGAGAGAGAGAGAGAGAGAGAGAGAGTATAAGGTTAAAAAATGCCCTGACAAACATTATGAGACAAAGAACCTTGAAAGATGCCATTGAGTCCAGTTTGTGTTGGCCATCTACTGATAGGTATTTACCTGGCTTTTATCCCCAATGAGAACACCACTGAAGAAAAACAAATTTCCATTAACTAAAGTTGGTTAATTGGAGTTACCTTCTGAGTTAGGGTTGTAAGCTTGTGTCCACTCCTCACGGCACTGGGACTTCATTTGGCTTAGACTGGTATAGCCCCTGTGCCTGTGTTGGTACTTCTGTATTTAGAAGGCCTTGATTCCTCATCTCTCTCTCTCTTCTGGCTCTTAAATTATGCCATGAGAAGGAACCAAGACTCACCACGGTTGGGGTAACTGAGATTCAGAAACTAGATAGTCCAGAGACCTAGGGTATATCACATGCTAATGCTCTAAAAGAAAATGTATCAATAAATTTTTCCTAATGGTATTCTGCTATATTCATAGATCAGTGCCTTATCCATATATAACCGAGAAAGATTAGATGACAGTGACATCCTTATAATGTAGAAAACGTTGGGCCCATAACATACCTTAGGCATCTCCATAAAACCCATGATGTTACACAAAAACCAGTATGCATGTGATTTTTTTTCTTTAAAGAAGCTGTAATTTATTCATTGCAATCCCCATTAGAATCCCAGCACAATTCTTCACAGACCTTGAAAGAACAATAACCAATTTTGTATGGAAAAACAAAAGACCCAGGATAGCCAAAACAAGCCTGTTCAACAAGGCAACGTCCGGAGGCATCACCATCCCTGACCTCAAGCTCTATTATAGAGCTATAGTCCTGAAAACAGCTTGGTATTGGCAGAAAAATAGACAGGTAGACCAATGGAATCGAATTGAAAACCCGGGTATTAACCCACACACATACGAACATCTGATCTTTGACAAAGAAGCTAAAAATATACAATGGAATAAAGAAAGCATCTTCAAGAAATGGTGCTGGCATAACTGGAGGCTGGCATGTAGAAGAATGTGGATCGATCCATGTTTATTGCCATGTACAAAACTTAAGTCCAAATGGGTCAAAGACCTCAACATAAATCCAGCCACACTGAACCTCTTAGAAGAGAAAGTGGGTGGTACCCTTGAAAGAATTGGTACAGGAGACAGCTTCCTGAACATAACACCAGTAGCACAGACAGTGAGATCAACACCTACTGAAACTGAGAAGCTTCTGTAAGGCAAAGGACACAGTCAGCAAGACAAAAAGGCAGCCCACAGAATGGGAAAATTTTTCACTAATCCCACATCTGACAGAGGGTTGATCTCCAAAATTTACAAAGAACTCAAGAAGCAAGTCTCCAAAACATCAAAGGACCCAATTTAAAAGTGGGCTACACAACTAAATAGAGAATTCTCAATAGAGGAGTCTAAAATGGCTGAGAGGCACTTGAGAAAGTGCTCAACATCCTTAGCCATCTGGGAAATGCAAATCAAAACAACTCTGAGATATCATCTCACTCCTGTCAGAATGGCTAAAATCAAAAACACCAATGACAATTTATGCTAGAGAGGATGTGGTGAAAGGGGGACACTCCTCCATTGCTGGTGGGAGTGCCAACTGGTTCAGCCACTTTGGAAATCAGTATGGAGATTCCTCAGAAAAATGGGAATAAACCTACCACAAGACCCAGCAACTTCACTCTTAGGCATATATCCAAAAGATGCCCATTCATACACCAAAGATGTCTGTTCCACTATGTTCATAGCAGCATTATTTGTAATAGCCAGAACTTGGAAGCAACCTAGATGTCCCTCAACCGAAGAGTGGATAGAGAAAATGTGGTACATCTACACAATGGAGTACTATTCAGCAGAAAAAAGTAATGGAATCATGAGATTCGCAGGCAAATGGATGACACTAGAAGAAACCATCCTGAGTGAGGTAACCCAGTCACAAAAAGAGAAACATGGCATGTACTCTCTCATATATGGATTTTAGACCTAGATCTGGGGAGTGCCAGCCTACAATCCTATGGCCAGAGAGTCTGGGAAACAGAAACTTCATTTAGTGACTGATCGAAGAAGAGGCAGACTCCCTTGGTTAAGTACTGAGCTGAACTCAAGAAAGCCAGTAACAGAGAGGGAGGACTGATGATCAAAGGGATTAAGACTGGGCTGGTTTAACCCCCAGAAACAGCTGACCAGACAAAGGTTAACTCTTGAATCCCAGGCATCAGCCTAGGAATCCAGCATGGGACTGATCAAGACTCCCTGAATCTGGGTGTCAGTGAGGAGGCCTAGGGAATCTATTGAGCCTTGGGCAGCAGATCAGTACCCATCCCAAGTATACACACGGACTTTGGACTCCCATAGAACAATGTGAGGTGCACTCTCACCCTGAACTCTTGGGGAAGGGTCTAGGCCCTGCCCTATATGAAATGACAGACTATAGACACCCCCATGGAGAGCCTCACCCTCCCTGGGGGAATGAGGAGATAATGGGGGGGTTTGCGGGGAGGGCATGGGAGGAGGGGAGGGAAAGGGAGAGGGACCTGGAACTGACTTGTGAAGCTATCTAAATTTAAACTGGAAAATAAAATAAAGAAAAAAAAAGAAACTGTAATTTTAATTAGATTTTTCATTGGAGACTTTGTTTTGAAAAAATAGCAAGAATCTCAATTCTTGGAAGAAATTACTCATTCAGACAATTGATTATTTCATAATTGCTGCTATATGTTAATCTATTCTATGAGCTTTATTTATAATGTGATTATGTGCTTATATTGTAGAACTTGAAAGGGGATGGACTAGTCATTCTTTGGATACCATTCTGCAAGGAGTTTGGCATAAAAAGCAATAGATACAAGTAAAAAGAATAAATATTTATTAGCAAAAGACAAAAACTCCCAATAACATTACAGAAAAATGATAGTGGTTATTGATTATATCATAAGAAAACAAATTATTGATGTTTTAGCATGAAATTCTTGTAGCTCTTATCATAAACAGTTGCTGTAAATTCAATTATGCTTGTAAGAAAACTCCACTTCTTCTACCTTGTAGGTTCCTTAGTACTTTAAACTCTGTTACAGAATTTACTCTATTATGCTCTAGCATTTGAAAATTACTTTTCTCATTTTGTAATATACTGTTGTGGGAACACCAGACCTTGTTCAGAGACCCACTTCCCCATCAGCCTGGGAGTAGGCAGCTGTAAGACAATGTTTTCTAAAAACATGTTTACTAAAAACAATACAATGCCCAGGGCAATAAGTTCCTGAAAAGGGCTGGCCCACGGGAACTGCCCTGACCTCGACCTTTTCCAACGACTATCCGCCTCTTCAGACCCACCCACCTCCACCTCTGGTGTCAGGGTATATAATAACCAGCCAGAATAGGAATAAAGGAGAGCCTTCTTGAGGAGCCTTCAGATCTGTGTCATCAATCCCGACACCCTCGCCACATTCTCGGACACAGGCTGCGCAGCAGACGCGGCATACTGTTCCCCAAGAACTAAAATCACACTTTCTTTTCACTGTTTTACCCTCACTACCTAGCCAATAAACACAGAATAGTTGCAGGTGATTACAATAATGACTTAATGTATAGTGATAGATTGCTATATATCCCCCAATATAATATAAGCTACAATATAATATAAGCTACAGACAAATTATAGGTTAAAGAAAAGGTAGGTATAGAGCAACACTATTTAGTCTTAGACAAAGCAACCACATTTATCTTGAGAGCACTGTGTGATGTTGATAATTGGACAGATCTGATACCCTTCCCCCACACCCAAATGCTGCTGGGCCTTCTCCACTAGTGCTCATTTGAGCATGAAGAAAATCCTCTCTAGGCTAAAGAAATATAGAGTATTAGAGATCTGTGGATCATTAGAAATGTTCGATACTTTAAAGAAAAGACATCTAAATTGGTTAATGTGACATGATTTCAAAGGGATTCAAGATGATATCAGAATATGGAAAGATTTCCCATGCTCATCGATCAGTAGGATTAACATAGTAAATAATGGTCATGCTTCCAAAAACCATCTACAAATCCAATGCAATCCCCATCAAATTCCAACACAATAATTTACAGATTTTGAAAGGGCAATTCTCAACTTCATGTGTAAAAACAAAAAATCCAGGAGAGCTCAAACAATACTGTACAATAAAAGAACTGTGAGAAATATCACCATCTATGATTTCAAATTGTACTACAGAGTTATAGTAATAAAAATGCTGTATAGTACTGGCACAAACACAGACACTTTGATGAATTGAATTGAATGGAAGATCCACATGTAAGTTCACACACATGTGAACAACTGACTTTTGATGAAGAAGACAGATATACACTGGGAAAAAAGAGAAAGCATCTTGAATAAATGGTGTCCAAACTGGATATCTGTGTATAGAAGAATACAAATAGATTCATACTCATCACTTTGCACAAAATGCAAGTCCAAGTGGATCAAAGATCTCAACATAAAACCAGATACACTGAACCATGTAGAAAAGTAACTGGGGAACAGCCTTGAATACATTAGCACAGGAGACGACTTCCTGAACAAAACAAAGCCACTAAGATCAACAATTAATAAACAGGACT